AACTTTTTAAGGATTCAGTCTGTCCCATTACACTTGGAGCCCCTGATTCCTGCCATACCAATAAAGGCCATCGCACACAAAAGCGGGGAACACAACAGACTTTTGCATAAAGGCTCAGTAGGTGGAAGCACATAAAATTGCAGGAGCCATGAGCAGAAAGCAGAAGCCATATGCGCATGCGCTATGTTATCCGTAAAGCTCTAACCATAGAGATATAATGGAGGATTCACATTGCGTCCGATCACGTCCGATGTTCGACGTACGACGATCCGACATCCAATAACAGAATTTATTATTAGAGACAAAAATTTTCTATTGGATGCCGGATCGTCGTACGTCGAACATCGGACGCAGTGTGAATCCTCCGTAAGAATAGAGTGCGCGAGCGAGCTGAAAAAGCGATATAGGAATAGAAAGAGAAAGCTGCGCATGGGCCCCTTCTGTCTTTGTTTCGCATGCACGCGTAGACAAAAACAGAAAGGGCCTTTATGCAGCGTTCTTTTTCTATTCCTATATCGCAGCCTCTTACGTGCTAGCATATGACTCGCGCACTCTATTCTTATATCTCTATGGCTCTAACAGATACCATAGCGCATGCGCATATGGCTTCTGCATTCTGCTTATGTCTCCTGCAAATTTATGTGCTTCCACCTTTACAATGGGTGCGTTCGGGGAGCTTGCTACCGCGCTACCAACGTTAAAGGTGAAATTTCATGGGCAGTGAAAAGTAGCAGCAGATCGTACTGATTGGTTACAAAATAGAGAAGTTCTAGGAACTCGAGAACTTCTCTATTTTATAGCCAATCAGTACAATCTGCTGCTGGTTTTCACTGCCCATGAAATTTCACCTTAACGCTATTAATGCTAAAGCTGGCCACACACACTTTTTCGTAACGTTACGAAAAAGTGTGTGTCCGGGGCATAATGCTGGGTCTACAATGCGAGTCGCAAAGTCGTGAGTCGCAAGAATTGACCAATCACAGTCGATTATTCTTCTCAAATTCAACTGTGATTGGTCAATTCTTGCAACTCACGACTTTGCGACTTGCATTGTAGACCCAGCATTAGACTCTAGACGCGGAAACGCCGTGCGGTAAAGTGCGTTGACCAATCAGAAGGCTGCCGCAAGTCGCCTGCCGCAAAATCAAAATTTGTGATTGGTCAACGCACTCTGCCGCATGGCGTTTCCGCGTCTATGGAGTCTTATAGCGTTTTCGATTTGCGACTCAAACCGACTCGGGTCGCATCATGTATGTACATATGTACATTATAGCATCATTGCCGTGGAATATGTATGTACATACATAGATATGTATGTATTCCACGCCCATTGATGCGACCCGAGTCGGGTCGAGTAGTAAATCGAAAACGCCATTAGACACGGTCGTGCGTGGTCTTAGCATTAATGCTAATGCTAATGCTAAGACTCCATAGACGCGGAAACGCCGTGCGGCAGAGTGCGTTGACCAATCACAAATTTTGATTTTGCCGCAGGCGACTTGCGGCAGCCTTCTGATTGGTCAACGCACT